CCTGTCTCTTATACACATCTAGATGTGTATAAGAGACAGGTATAGCGCTAGGGTTAGATGCAGTGACAGCTGCCATAGCTGTAATTAGCAGTGAGTGGGTGTGTAAGTGTTGGAGTGTTAGAGGGATGCGTGTGGGATATCCAGGGTGATCCAGTGTATGTGAACAGTGAGTTGTTTGGGCGCTGAAGTCGCCATARCYRWTTGAGAGTGAACTCATATCTGAAGCCATATCTCTGAGTCTTGTGTGGGCGCATGTCGCCAGTATGCTGCGTTGCTGTTTACATGCATGAAAAGTGTGTTTGAAAACGAGTATGATTGCAAATATGAACACCAGAAAGTGGCAGAAAGTTTGAAACATTACCTGATCCAAAGCATCCTCCTCTGCTGTAGGAGGTGGTCTCACAGAGGCTTCAGTATCAACAGCCGGTCTCAACTCTTCAAGCTTCAACTCTCCCTTACGGAACAGGGCAGTCCATTCTAGCCATTCCTTCTTCGGCACAGCAGACTCTGAGTACTCTCGGTGGTGTGCTGCATGTTCAGCAAGGGCCAAAATCTTCACACACGCAGAGACAGGGGGAGAGAAAGAAGGAAGGAGGAACAGGAAGAGGCCAAGCGAGAGAGAGAGAGAGAGAGAGAGAGAGAGAGAGAGAGAAAGGGAGAAGGTTGAGCTCTTAGCACCATGGATTGCTACCATAACATTGTGAATAACGCAGGAATGAGAAGTCAAGCAGCATGAAACCATTACATTACGAATAAGTGGTCCGGGAAGACTGCTTGGACAAGATACTGTTCCTGGCAGACAACACTGGTTTCCTATACTGGAAACCATTTCCAACGTAGGAAACCATTGCTGGCTGTCGGGAAAATTGAAAGGCCCTGCGCTCAGTCAGTCTACTGGACTGTGAAAGACCTTCAAACTCTCAACACCCATATTTATGTGTCGTTCGAATAGAACACATACATGTTGTATTCGGATAGAAAGCAACTTATTCGAATAGAACACATATGCGTTGTAAAGGATCTCTACCGTACCACTGATTATACCAGGAAGTCTAATGACCGCACTAGAGACCTACTATAGGTGAATGTAGGAAAAACATTTAAAACAACAAAAAAATAAGTGCATTTAGGAGCGTCTGCAGCTTGCCTGCCACAGGTTGGCTGAACATTGGAATGCAGTTGGTAAGGATTTCTTTTTTCAAATTGGCAAGACATGGTTGGCTTGCATTTGGAAAAAGAAGTCGCTGGTTACACACAAGTCCGTGTGTGTGGGTAGGTAATCATGCGTGATATTGTGGGTTGTAAACAATTACCACAAAAAAAAACCTTTTCTGAAAGGATTCTGTGTCTCAAAGTCCGGTAAAGGTACCGAGTGGGCCGTACAGAAACCAGTTGGCTACTATCCTCACCTGAATCAAACGCCGGGTAATTATCGCTGCATCTGGACTGAAAGTTGTGCCAAATGCAGCTATAATGACCGGGCGTTCTATTCGGGGTGAAGATGGTAGGGTCAGTAAGGTTTCAGTCGTCAGGAAAAAGTCGTTTGTCAAGTCCCCGTCAGTCGCAGCTCAGTTCCAGGAAAGTCCTCTGGCGGTCCGAATTGTTGAGGAGCCTGGCGATGAGCAAGGCAGAAATGGACCAACGTCACAAGTCTAATTTTGGGAAGTGCAACGAGTACAAAAAGTCGCAGCCAGCGTCAAGACCATTTCCCATTTGTGACTATTGCGATGACCGCTGCTGCATTATAGTGCGACCAAGCTGTGGATAAGAGAAGTGAGGGTCGAGGGTAGAGTAGTCAATGGCGTGAATGGCGGCTACCGTCTTCCACCGAACATAAAGCATATGTGTTGTATTGGAGCTTTAAAAAATAAAAATAAAAAAAAATTGAATAGAACGCGTATGCATTGAAACCCTTTACAACGCATGCGCGTTATGTTCGGGGGAAGATGGTAGCGCTATACCTCGTAGTAGAGAGAAGACAGTAGCTGAGGAGGAGAGAGAGGAAGACATCCAGAGAGGAATAGTGAGGCCTGAGCGTAGACTAGAAACAGAGATACGGCCATAGCCGCTGGAGCTCAAGTGACCTGCCGTATATAACTTGGCGGTTTCAGATAATTCCCAAGCATGATCATATCGTGTGAATCTTGCCCACTGTGTGTGAGGACTTGTGTGATGTTGTTTGCAAGCAGAGTGGAACAAAGCGGGTGCGAATTACAGAACCATTGCAGTGGAGCGGCTGCAACAGGGTGCACAGGCCATTTTCAGGCCCGTGTCGTTTTCAGCCCGAAAGCCTGAAAACAAGGGCCTACAGGCCCTGTGTCATTTCAGCCTGAGAGCCTGAAAACAAGGGCCTACAGGCCCTGTGTCGTTTCAGCCTAAATCAGGGCCTTTCTGGCCCTGAGTCTTTTCAGCCTGAAACTGAGGGCCATTTTCAGGCCCTCATAAGATCGACCTGCCCTGAAACTCGGGCACCAGACCAGGGTTTTAGCTCAGGCCATTTTGGGCTATTTTCAAGACAACCTTTGTTTGAGCTTCAACCCCAGGGTCTGGCACGTTTTGGCATTGGCAAGAGCAGCCTCCTGGACGGGCCAGCACTATATAAGACTGGCCCGCCCTGCAGGCTGCAGGTAGTTCCTAGGTACTTCCCAGGCACTTCACGTGCAGTTCAGGAGGCAGGAGGTAGTCTTCAGGATTCGGCAGCAGCACTCTGGAGGAGCGCTGCAGTAGTAGTAGTAGCGTTAGAAGTAGTCTTCAGTGCTGGGCGCTAGTAGCGCTAGCAGTAGTCTTCAGCGCTGGGCGCCATAGGAGCTAGAGTAGTACTAGAGAGAGAGAGATTGGGCGGAGGCCAGGGAGACTTACCTGCAGCGCCATTGATCCAGCTTCGTCTTCGAGGTACCTGCAGCACAGCTCCATCTTCACAGGTTAGTACCTGGCACATGAGAGAGAGAGAGAGTTCTTCTTCTTCTTCTCAGTCCACCATCTCCTTCTCACCCTCCTGCTATCTGACTTCACTGCATCAGCAGACTACGAGAGAGAGAGAGAGAGAGAGAGAGAGAGAGAGAGAGCTTGGTGACATTTGGATCCAGACTCGACATTGGACTTCAGACATTTTGAAGAGGGATTNCATTTTGAAGAGGGATTATTTGGGACTGGTAACGAGACTTGGTGTTGACGACTTTCCCATCTCCCCCTTCCTCTTCTTCGTCTGATCCCCTCCTCGTCGTCTGTGTATGTCTGGACCTGGCGCCTCTTTCCTGTGTATAGCGCCAGGCCCCTTCACACCTTGTGATGAGCATGATGTATGTTTGGTCTGCGTTGCAACATTGATTGGGCTAGTCATTGGTATTCTAGCATTCTGCTGCGCTGTCTTGCACTACGTGCTAGAGGTCAGTCCCGGTCAGGTCAGGACTTGTATCTAAGTCTTCCCTGCGCTATTCAGCACCATCTTTGTATGGATCAGAATGTACATTGCTTGTTGAGATTCTACTTGCACAGCATTGTCCATTCAGTCCTTTTTATCACATTGCGGATCCTCGGTTATATGTGTACATCGCCCAACTGGGCATGTAACAGAGGAAGACATCCAGAGAGGAATAGTGAGGCCTGAAGGTAGACTAGAAACAGAGAGATATGGAGAGAGACATACCTTCTTGGATTGTTGTTGATGGCGGCCATAGCCGCTGGAGCTCAAGTGACCTGTCGTATATAACTTGGCGGTTTCAGATAAGTCCCAAGCATGCTCATATCGTGTGAATCTTGCCCATTGTGTGTGAGGACTTGTGTGATGTTGGTTGCAAGCAGAGTGGAACAAAGCGGGAGCGAATTGCAGAACCATTGCAGCGGAGCGGCTTGAACCAGCTCCGATACCAAATTGCAAGGAAAATGAGCAATGGCGAAATGACAGACTTAAGCTGTCCAGATAGCAGAAATGCACTGATAGCACACCGTGAGAGCACCAAAGCAGCGAACTCAATTGTCAATGAAAGCCCTCTCTCGCCACCATCAACGATGTACTCGAGGCTAATCCTCCTCCTACTGGTGCTTAGTGCCAGACTACGATCATACAGCTACTACGCTGGCCTACCAAAAAGACAAAGCCAACTGTTGATGTCAGCAGCAGCAACCGAAGTACATGCAGATGTCGCTCATACAGACCGCCACAACGACCAGGTACGTTCTCTCACATCTCCTCTCACTCGCCCTCTTTCTGCCCACCCTCGTGTTCTCCCCACAGCTTCTTCCTCCTTCCTGAGACCACCACCACCACCACCACCGCCACTGACCCATGCGCCCAAGCCTCGGCTATGGCTGGCTTGGCGCTCGCGGCCTTCCAGCAGCGCTGTTCCCCCCCCAGCGCCTGTGTGTGCCCAGCACAGCACTCCAACCCAGCAGCCTCCTCCAGAGCACAAACAAGCAGCACTGCCACATGGATGGCAAGTGCCCGAATCACCTGCTGGTGCGTGGCAACTGTCTGGCACCCACAAAAAATTGAGATATTCAGGCCTCTTTGAGATAAGAGGGTCCGCCTTCACTTCAGGCGGGCACAAGGCTTGTTGCAGGGGCCCCATACGGGCATGCCGAGGACTCATATCCTGTCTAGCCCCAAAGACCCGTACTGATTTGCGTGTTAGCGAACCATATGCGCATGAGCCTTGACCAATCTTACGTGCTGAGCGGAAGTGGAGATACTGCCTAGCCTCGTTGTCCTGTGTGGGACAGTCTGTGACAGGTGAAGAATTCAGAATTCTTGAGGACCTCCGGGGGCTGTCCTACAGCTGCCTCTGGCCAGTCTGACATACCTCTGACATAATAACCCAGTAGATGATCTGACTCTCATGCACCACCATTGAAAACATGGAAGAGATCAGGCGTCTTTTTGATAGGTTCACAGCAGTCTCAGATATGACAGTTAATTGGGGAAACAAGACGCTGGGGTGGTGGATTCACCACCAAGGGGTGCGCCCCCCGGAACTGCCCCGTGTCAAATGGCTTCCAGAGTCGGCCCTGGTGAGAGTGTTGGGAATCATGTTAACAGTGGCAGGAAGACCTGCGTCGAGCGATGATTGGAGCCTTAAACCTGCGCTGGAGAAACTGCAGCGCTGGAATGACCAACACACATCCTTAATCGGTAGGGCATTAGTAATCAATAGTGTGGTGTTAGCTGCTTTGTGGTACAAATCCGCGATATGGGCACTCAGCAAGGCCGCGTTGCGGGCACTAAAGCGGCAAACAACAGCCTTGCTGTGGAGAGGCAATAGTGAGCTTCTGAATGTCATCAATAGGGTGCCCTGGAGATCGGTTATCCAACCCAAAGATAAAGGGGGCTTGGGGATTTTGGACCCCGATACCCAGACCACAGCGCTGATGGTACAATGGATAAAGAGGTTGGTACTCACACGGGACCTTCCATGGTACGCCCTGGCACTGGAACAGCTCGCTTGACTGGCCGCACAAGCACCGCAAACTGTTGACCCCCTCACTTGGCTGGACGACCGCTTCTGGTCCATACCCAGATGCCCCCGTTCTCATCAGACTTCGGGCAGGGGGGCGGCCCGAAGCGATCTGGCCAAGGACGATTTCTGGATTCGCTGCCTCAAAGCTTGGCGTCAGTTACCGCTACCAGACAAACCAGGGCCGTCCAGGTGGGAGGAAGTGGCTAGACAACCCCTGTTCGGGAACAGAAAGATCACGGACCGGAACAAAAGGATATATTGCAGTTCCGACCCCCCATGGAACAGCTGGGTTAAGAAAGGAATAGTTAGAGTAAAAGACATCTCGGACGGTGAGAATAGGGACTGAAAAACTGCACCACAACTGA